ATTTGGGGGGCAGATCGGATTTGGGGGACAGATCCCGGGATTTGGGGGGCAGATCCCGGGATTTGGGGGGCAGATCCCGGGATTTGGGGGGCAGATCGGATTTGGGGGGCAGATCCCGGGATTTGGGGGGCAGATCCCGGGATTTGGGGGACAGATCTGATTTGGGGGGCAGATCGGATTTGGGGGGCAGAGCCGAGGCCAAGTGGAGCAGCCCGGCTGGCGGATAATTGCTTCAGCCTCGGTGGATTTGGACAGAAGCCGGCATCAGTGGGACACGAACAGGAATTAGGGAGACGCGGGGCTACAGACGGGATGGGCTGGAGCCAAAAACCCCTTTGGGGCCGGGGTTTGCACCTTTTAGGGCCGGGGTTTGCACCTTTTAGGGTCGGGCTTTTGCACCTTTTAGGGCCAAGGGACTGCGCCCTTTGGGGCCGGAGTTTTGCTCCTTTTAGGGCCGGGGTTTGCTCCTTTTAGGGCCGGGGTTTGCACCCCTTGGGGTCAGGGGTTTGTGCCCTTTGGGGCGGGGGATTTGCACCCTCTTTAGGGCCGGGGTTTGTGCCCTTTGGGGTCGGGGTTTTAGGTCCGGAGTTTTGCTCCCTTTGGGACCAGGGTTTGGCACCTTTTAGGGGCAGGGTTTTGCAACCTTTGGGGTGGGGGATTTTCACCTTTTAGGAGCACTGCACCCTTTGGGGTCGGGGTTTTAGGTCCGAGATTTTGCCCCCTTTGGGGTCGGGGTTTTAGTTCCAGGGTTTTGCCCCCTTTGGGGTCGGGGTTTTAACTCTGGGGTTTTAGCTCCGGGATCTTGCCCCCTTCCCTGTCGGGGTTTTAGTTCCGGAGTTTTGCCCCCTTTGGGGTCGGGGTTTTAGCTCCGGGATTTTTCCCCGTTTGGGCTCGGTGTTTTAGGTCCAGGATTTTCCCCCTTTGGGGTCGGGGTTTTAGGTCGGGGTTTTTTCCCCTTTGGGCTCGGTGTTTTAGGTCGGGATTTTCCCCCTTTGGGCTCGGGGTTTTAGGTCGGGGTTTTAGGTCGGGATTTTTCCCCTTTGGGCTCGGGGTTTTAGGTCGGGATTTTTCCCCCTTTGGGCTCGGTGTTTTAGGTCGGGGTTTTAGGTCGGGATTTTGCCCCCTTTGGGCTCGGGGTTTTAGGTCCAGGATTTTCCCCCTTTGGGGTCGGGGTTTTAGCTCCGGGGTTTTAGGTCGGGGTTTTTCCCCCTTTGGGCTCGGGGTTTTAGTTCCGGGGATTTTCCCCCTTTGGGCTCGGTGTTTTAGGTCGGGGTTTTAGGTCGGGATTTTTCCCCTTTGGGCTCGGGGTTTTAGGTCGGGGTTTTAGGTCGGGATTTTCCCCCTTTGGGCTCGGTGTTTTAGGTCGGGGTTTTAGGTCGGGATTTTGCCCCCTTTGGGCTCGGTGTTTTATGTCGGGGTTTTGGGGCCGCTGAGCCCGCGGGCCGTGCCGGTGTCCGCAGGCTCAGTTCGCACACGTGGGCTCCTCGCTGCACCCCCGCACGCCGTTCCCGTACCAGACCCCCGAGGATGTCGTGTGGAGTTTCCTGCTCTCCAACGCCCTGTACGCGCTGGG